TATATATGTATACATATGTGTATATATATATATATATATATGTGTGTCACAATGGGTGCATTTAGTATGGGAAGGCTCCGATTTCACACATTGCATGTTGAACACATGCGTCGCTAATTGGCCAATTTAAAAATAAAATATTCTCGTTGGTAAAGCAATAAAAAATTACTAAGCACCAGTTAATATGAGTGATATCAACTAGTGTCTAGTAATTTTGTACTGCTTTACCAATAAGAACGTTTTATTTTTAAATTGGCCAATTAGCGACGCATATGTTCAACATGCAATGTGTACAATCGGGATTGTAGGCAAACGGAATCCTGCCATTCAGGCATTTTTATTATTTTTATTACTACGACTGCTTACTGAGCACTCAATGAACTAATGGGCGCAGACTCAACAGTGGAGTGAGCGCTCACTATTATTGGTGTATTCTTCTAAGTCTAAAATTCTGATTGGATGAGCTAAAAGAATACACCAATAACAGCGAGTGCTCACTCAACTATTTAGTCCACTGAATGCGCCCAATGGATGCATTCAGTACTACAACCGCTCACTGAGCGCTCAGTGAGCTCTTAGATCTGATTGGCATATTCCGTTAGATCTAAAAATATAGACCAAACAGATACAAGAGCTCACTGAGCGTTCAATGAGCGGTCGTAGTACTGAATGTACCTCTTGTATCTGTTTGGTCTATATTTTTAATTCTAACGGAATATGCCAATCAGATGCAAGAGCTCATTGAGCGCTCAGTGAGCGGTTGTAGTACTGAATGCAGTCACTCAACTGTTGAGTCCGCTGAATGGGCCCATTGGCTACGTTTAGCAGACTCAACAGTTTTGAAACCGTTTTGTAACAGTTTTGTGATTCTTCGCTGAGATAGGACTAGATATTCTTTTAAATCTAAAAGTATAATCCAATCAGCGCGACGAATCATAAAACGGTTGCAAAACTGCTGAGTCTGCTGAACGCAGCCAATATGACATCAGCCTAAGAACAAGACTAATCATGTTAAAGAATTTTACGACGGTTGCAAAACTGCTTCTGCTGAATGGATCTAATTTGGTGCAATTGAGTGCAAATCTGTTTACGTATTTTCAGTGTTAATAAATAATTCAATCCTTTTAAGATTATGAGGTTAACGTGACAATAAAAAATATATAATTAAATATATAATTAAATTATTTATCAACACTAAGGGCCGACTTCACCAA